GTATGACTCCGCCCCCTGTGAGCAAAAGGTGTGAATCAGGACCCCAACAATAGTCAGGTGATGGGGCACATGATCCTCTATTAACAATAGAACTAATGAAGCCTGTTGTTAAGCAATGGCCCCCTTTTGCATGTGACTAACCTGTTTGTCCACCATGTGGAGGCGGAGCTTTTAAGGCTGAGTTCACCTGAAACTCATCAGACTGAAGAAGTCTCTTGGAGGAGAGATGAAACGTTTCACTAAAGAAGAACCATCCAGAGGACCTACTGATCTTTTCTACCTGGATTACTGAGATGCATCAGGACATTTAACCAGATCACATCTGCGTTCACTCAGGCTGCACTGCCCTGACGCCAAACATCAACGGCTGATAATGTCTGTGTGTGTTTGTGCTTCTGTCTGTTAATATCTTAAACCAGTGGATGGATTTTACTGAAACTTAGAGAAAATAAACACTGGATGTACAGTAATTCTACTGATTAATTTCTAGAGTAAGTCTTATTGACGATGGTTGTCACAAGTAACTAAGCTTAATAACTAGACACCACATAGCGGTAACATGAACCCTGCACGCACAAGTGCACCAGAACTCAGAAGGCTTTATTCCTGATAAATGTCATGCTGCTAGATACATCCTAAAATTGTAGTGGTTTGGGTGGTGGTATTGTTTATTTATTTATTTTTTGGGGTGGGGGGGCACTGCTTGGTGGGCCTGATGGATAGAGCTTCATCAGAGCTAAACAACAAAAGAAATCTGAAGCTTCTATGTTGAACAGTTTCTGAGTTATAAGTGATTTTGCTTATCCAGACACCCCCCACTTTGAAAGGAGCCCCCTCCTCAAATATGGGGTCCATCATAAAACCGTTGGCTGGATCAGTGTAGGTCAGACTCATCTGCAGTCCTGACTAATTTCATGTTGATCGGTGCAGCTGTTTTTGTGCTACGGTTCACCAAAAATCACTGAGAAAAAAAAAACAGTACGGTCGGTCGGTCGGTCGGTCGGTCGGTCGGTCGGTCGGTAGATAGATCTTTATTTGCCATTTGTGCATCTACTAGCAGTTTATACACATGGGAATTCTTGTGTGGGCATCTCTCCTAGTCACAGTGTAGATGACAGAACAGTAATGATAGAAAAAACATTATAAGGTCTAAGAAAACAGTATAAGAACAATAAAAAAATTTAAAAAAGGAAAATATAATATATATTTATACATAAGCACACTAAAAAAGAATAAAACATTTAAAAGATAAATTTCAGCACAGTAGAGGGTGTGGCACAATAGCAGCACAACAGTACAATCAGTGTGTCAAATGCAGGACCTGTACGCAACTTAGCAGCATTTCACATTTATTTACATTATTTTTACATCATTTCAACCCTTAAATTCCATGGGAATATACTGTATGAGCCATCATATCAAAATGAGGATTAAGTCAAATTTGGTCAAAATGACCTAATTACATTTTCAGATTCCTGCTTTAAAAGCTACATTTTGACACCTGGATCATCCTGATTTCATAAGCTTATACACAGATATGACTTATTTTGTCTTGTTGGTTATTATGTTTGGTCTAGATCCTAATTTTATGTAAATTTATTGAGTATTTTTATGTTAATATAAAGAATAAACCTCAAATAGTGTTTGTATATTAAGATTTCCCAGTTGGAAAGAAACAAAATCATTGTTAGCTCACAGGGAAAAATTCAAAATCAGTTTTTTGTTGCTACTGCTCAAAAAAATGCTTCAAAATGTTTTTAGGATTATATTTCAGACAGTTCATTCAAATGATTCATTGATAAGGCAGTAATTCATTATATTTTGACAAAATGCAATTCTTGCAAATGGTAAAATCAAAACCCTATAAGCCTACAGTATATCTGTCTATTTCTCCACATCCCACTTTTGGACTTAATCCTCGTTTCTATGTGATGGTCACATTTATATTTTTATTTAGTCTATTATGTTTGTTTTATTAGTTCATTGTTCTCCGGGCATTTTTAAAAATAAAAACCAAATAAAACAATTTAGTGAAATTTTTTGAGGACCCCCAAGATACCTCTCACGGACCCCTGGGGGTCCTGGGACCCCAGTTTGAGACCCTCTGTACTATTCGACTTCATCTCTGTTAGCAAATTATCTCATGAACCACAAGATGAATTTTAATGAAACAGCTACCTGGTCACATTTTTCTAACAATACCTGTAAAAACTGAGTGTTTCCTGAACAAACTGTGACCACCAGGGGGCGCCTCAGCTCAAACACTGCAGTCTGGCAAACAGCCAGTCAGACAGAAAGGGTCAGAATTCAACAGGAGGAACTGCCAATAAAGCAGTTGCAGGTAGAAGGGCTGGTGTTTTAAAGTTTCCAGTAAAACTTAATAAATATATTTTTTACATTTAGAGCTGAAGGGAGAAAAGCCTGCTGGTATCCTGACCAGCAGAAACGGTGACGCACCGGAACGGTCCTTTGTAAGTAAATCAGGTCGTTTATATTCTCTGCTTTGAGGGCTAAAAATACATGAGACAGGACGTGAGTCCCTCTGCACAAACTGCAGGCCTCTGACGTCACACAGAGGATGTGCAGCAGCTGTGACACTGTGATGCTAGGCTTGTTTTATGATAGTAATTTGGCTGCTTAAAGTCTAAATTTATCTGGCATAGGAACCACCCAGGAGACAACAGGCACCCACCGTGAGAGCTCAGTGCATCATACCACAACTTGGTTTGAACTGTGCCCGATGTGTACCGCTGCAGTTTCAGTTAATGAATAGTAGTAAATAGTAAAATATTCCCATGAGACGGTTTGGTTTTAGCTTCGTTGCGATGCTCTGACCTGAATCATGTTCAGCTCCGTTATTAAAAATGTCATCACTAAATCAATAAAAACAGCAAAACTCAAACTGAAGACAAACTGACATAAGTGTGATG